TAAATAGAACAGTAGTAATTACTAGGAAATAGGTGTATAAGTAGCATAAAAGAGACAAGAATTACACCACACTGATAGAATCCGTAGTAGACCTGCCTTCAAAACACTGAGGGCAGGTCTGGCTTTCTAAACTGGAAAAGAGTGTAATAGGCATAAAAAATAAGGAGGCAGTCAACAAAAATGATTAAGTATAGGTGCTATATATAGAACAGCAGAGTAGACTGAGAGTCTTAAACTCAGAAAAAGAGACGGCTTTAGGGAAATACAATAGAGATCTGTAAAAGCTCGAGGATGTGGTTGTTCACTTCCTCTTCCATTCAAAAAGCAGGTTAGTTAAATTCTACTGAAGTATTTTAACCACATACAAAGTTCTGTCACTTTACATGAAGCAATCATATTACTTATATATTCTAAATATTGAGCAGATTTCTTCATTGTTCTGTGAGCAATGACTAGGAACAGCTGAACTTCCTTGGTTAGCTTTGAGTCCAGAGGAGTCAGGGAAAATGTCACTGCAAAAATGCGTTGTTCACTACAGGCAGTTCATGGAAGCATGTTACTAGGAAGATGAATATTGAAAATGTATCGGCTTACATCCCAGCAAAAATCTTCATTAATGTGAATAAGTAGTTGAAGAGGTGTACAAAATATGGAGCTCTGGGAAACTTGCCTTTTCTTCTTTAATGACCTGAGATCTTTGTTTCATCAGCAGAAAAACACTGCCCTTTTTTGACTTTTCATAGCTCTTTTCAAAGAAGGAAATTAATTGTTCGACTGAAAATACAGAGTTTCTACAACATAACTGTTCATCACAGACGGTCACAAATATGATCATTTTCCGAGTGAGATAAAGTACCTCAATATTGTCTATGTAGTCATAAAGTAAGGCTCAAGACAAAAAAAAAAATAAGATCTGTGTAATCTGAGCAGAGCATAATTAGCTAGCTTCTGGTATTACACGCACCTTGGCAGCTACAAGATTGGATTACTATATCAAACAAGTCACTCTGAATTATTCTGTTCGCTGAATGGAAATACTAGCACATTTTGATATTATGCATTGATATGATGCTACCAAAAATACAAAAGGCAGTAATACATTCTGTTTAATTCTGGATGTTATCCTACATCAACCTTTATACTACCTTTCAACAGCATCCTCCTCTCCTACATCTCTTCGTCTATGACTGAACAGTATTATGTAAACACAGTTTGTATTTACCGTATCTATTCCAATTTTAACTGTCTCCCTCCTCATCCTCAGAGAGAATTAATCCTTAATTTCCTGAAGAAGTCCTGAACTTCTCAGAATTTAGGTGGTCTGTCATGTGTTCCCTGTTAAGATGGTCAAGTTTGTGTCCAGAGGGACATAATATGCTGATGCCTCTGAGGCTGTGCAGCATCTCAGGTAGATTGGATGCAGTTTCTTATTTACATTACACCCAGGGGCTGAGTGTGCTGCCTTAACAGGTATTCAGTTCTTGCAGACATACTTTTTAGTGTAGGAGGTCCACATGGTTTCTTCCAATCCCACTGCCTCAAGACTAGGAATCTCTTCACTGGAATTGGTTTGTCAGATCAGGCAGCAGATAGTCAGATGGAAGATTGTTTTTTTCCCCTGGCCAGACACACACAGAGAGCACCCTGGTGGTACTTCCAGAATGTAAAAGAATAATCAAAAGATGTTTACTGCTTCCAGAGAAAGCAGGAGGAGAAAAGGCAAGTGGGCCGCTTCTCTCTTTCATCTTAGTAGTAGAAGAGTGCAAACAGAAGTAGAAGAATGCAAATAGAAATCTGCAAAAAGGCTTGCTTCTTCCTAGTCATGTCTGGAGAACATAGTCCATGAAGATCATTCAGAGATGGTGTATAGAATTCATCCTAACAAAAGGGCTCAGCAGGTGAGCCAGATATGTCTCTGTCACATATAAATTATAAAAAGCAACAGCTTTAGAAGTTTCACTGGGAATGAAGATGATTGGAAGGTGAAAACAGGTAAACTTGCAGAGAACAACACTAAAAGTAGGAAAAATGGATTTTTGGAGAGGTCTATTGAAAGGAAACCTGTGGTTCATCTGGTAAAGCAATAACCAAGATGAAATGTGGAAGTTCTGGAGAATGCCAGGAATTAGCAGGTCTCAAATGTTATGAAGGTTAAGTCTACAAATACTGATCTTCCTAACAAAATCATACATGTTTTCTGAGGATGTGTGGTTTGTGTGACTCCTCTTCTGTAGCAAAATCACTTTTCAGATAAGGATCTTATTTCCATGGGAGTTACCTTAACTGGAAGTGACATATTAATATGAGGTAATACAATATTCTTTTCTGTACAGAGATTGCAGTGTATAAAATCCATCTTTTTATGAAGTCCCTTCTCAAAATGATGAGTGTCCATATGATCATACACATGTATCTGTATATGTTTATATGTGTTTAAATCAGCAAAGTAGGCAACTCAGTACCTTTTATTTTGTAGTATAAATTTTTCAGTAGGAGTCCATCTCAAGAGTCATAAAAATACTGTGCCAATACAGTTTTTCCATTTTTTTCATAAACCAAAGTTCCTTTCAAATATGTACTAGCTTTGTGCTTAATTTTGGCACATTTTTCTCAATCATCATCCGTCTTTTTCATTTTGGAGAGCTGACTGTTTAGAATTAAGTGTGCTTTTAAAGATGGTATATTGCCTAGAAGTATTTTTGGGCAGACTCTTCTTATACTGGTTGGTGTCTAGTAAAGTATAAGCTACTTAAGAGAGTGGTGAATATTCTCTGGTGCATCAATTTGCAGCATCTCCTGACAGCCCTCACTTGTTGAACCCTGAAGTTATTGCCACTGTAACAGGAGTAGCAGAGCAGAATAAGTGTTTTCACCTCATTAGTCTAGCTCACAGTCCAGGATATTAGTTGGGGTAACAATGAAGCTAACTTTATGTGAGGACCCCTGAATGAGAACTGGAGAAGCAAATATATCAGTGGACATCCTTTTCTGCTGCTGGTGCTGTGAAAGGTGGTAATCTCCAGTACAAGGAATGAGAAGGCAGTAGACTCTTCAGATGCCACAGATTAATTATCCGAAAAGTGTCTGCCAGAGCATGTGCTTATCTGAAGTGTGTCTTTGGTGCATCAGTGTATCTATTAATTTTCCTAGTGTGTCATGATACCAGTATTCAGACAACCCAAAATCACATGGGACTTTTTTCTTCTCCCATATGGCAATAAATGCCTTGTTTTCTTTCCAATGTCACTCATAGCTCTTTCAGCTGTGCAGTTTTCCAAATATCTCCCCCTCTCTGCTGAATCACTGCTGCATGGAAAACTGTTTCTCAGCATGTACAGTCCAGTTTTGTGTGCTGCAAAAGCCTGTGCTTGAGAAGTTGGGTATCAGGGTGCAGCAAGGAGTGGCTGTTTGCAAAGGGCTCTTTGACAGGACCCTGCGCGGCAGCAGCACAGGCCCAGGGGTGGCAGCCAGGCTCAGCCCAGAGTCCGGATCCCCACGCAAGTCCACAGTGATGAGGCCAGGCTGGGACATCACACTGACCCTGAGCCTTGGCAGCCAAACCTCCCAGAGCAGGGCTGCTCTCAAGGCATGTACATTGAGCATGCAGAATTGCCCATGTGTGGAAGTATTTGTTGGATCTGGCCTTTGAGGTAATACAGGCAAATAGTACTTGTCTTATTGATGAAATCTGTGAGAGAACAGAAATTGCTGTAGTAGTCTACTGTTTCTGAATCTGCACAGAGAGTGTTCTGGGGTGCGTGTTGCATGATGCGTGTTTTACAGTGTCAAATGACAGATGTGCTCCCAGGCACAACCCTTGCATGCCAACGTACGCTAACTCTGGTTATGGCACATGTGGTAGTGTTCACAGTTCACTGGAGCAGGCTTCTGAATAAGCAGAAGTGAGCAAACCTAATTTTTTGGGTATCATAGGCTAGTTCTGCAATGCTGCGTACTGACAAGGGAGAAGCTAATGTAGCTGTCATGAACTTGCCCTCACACATCCTTGTACCATTTTGATTAAGTCAGTCTAAAATGGTATACTTATTTGGTATCTAAGTGATCGTGTACGGTGGTATATGAGCTGGGACCCTTCTCTTGCCATGCTGCCTTGCTTAAAGCACATGTGCTCCCCAGGCAAAGGGAACACCTGTACCATCATGGGGTGCTTCCCCTCAGTGTGCAGAATGAGATGGCAGGCCTGTGTTTATTCTTTCACTGGCTAGCGAAATGGTATTCTGGGGAGTTGAGGAGTACAGATAATGATGAAGGCACGCAAGAGTTCCTCCTTTCCATCTGCTCTAAAAGATTGACTTCATACAGTCAATTTCTGTTTGTTGAGATAAAAAGGTTGTAAAAATCTTAGGAAAATTATAACATTTATTCCAAATGAGAAACAATTTGTGATACTCTAGAATAAAGTTGTGGTCTGATTATACTACCTTATCTGCAAATCCACATTTAGCAAGTTTTGTCCAGTTTGCAGAACTGATAAAAAATGTTGCAAAGAAGTGGAGAATCCATCCCATTCACTTTGGTTTTATTAACCAGCAGCTATGAAAGCCTGTTAAAGCTTTTTAAAAAGTTCCTAAAAGTAGGTGTTATTTTTAAACTTTGGAGTCCCTATAAATCAAAGCATGTTTTACCAGAAGTTTCTCTCTTCCTAAGTAAACATACTGAATGCTCTTCTTTCTGTGAGAAATCATTTTCCTCTTCTGTGAAGTATTTTGTTAAATTAGGAAAGCCTTGCAAAAAGTCCTCATATGATGATAGTGTGTGAAAAATGTAAAAAATCTTTTTTTTTTTTTTAGATGAATGAGTTTTTCATTGTTTTACTGCTAATAGCAAATGCATTTCAAAATCAAAATAACTTGTTAGAATCCACATCTTTATGCTGCTACTGAAATTGTGTTTTGATTTCTTTGACATGATCCCTGATTGCTGTGAGAAGAATCAGTTCAGTATTTTTGTTCTTAGATTCCCCCTCCTTTGTCTTGCAGCTACTTGTGGCAGATTCCATTAACAATTGCAGTAGGAAATACGAGCCACATCTCATCAGAGGCAATTATATGGGTGTCTAACAAATCAGGTAAAAATAAACTTTCCTCCCAGTGGAATCTCATAAAGCATACTTGTGTTTTCCTCAACTGTTTCTTTGGAATTGATCCTAGATAATTGTTTAGTTGCTCTGCACCCAGTGTTAGCTACTTGAAATGAATTACAAAAGGAAGAGCCGGGAAGGGAGGGAGGAGGAATGAAGGATAAGCAGCAAGCAAGAAGATTTATAATTATCACAGACATTACAGTATAATGAAAAGCTTTTACATAGAAATGTGTTCCTAAGTGCTAAATGCTTTGTATTTAGCAACTTATATCAAATTATTGATGAATGTAATTCAATTTATTGATTTATAATAGTAAAACGTAATATTTTTGTAGCAAAGCATCAGATGAGTATGACTTAGTAAATGCAAATTATTTATGATTCTGGCATTTTGTAATTCCAATCCACAATCTAAACCAGGGCTAAGAAATGTTTACTGCTATTTAAAAGTTTTTATATTTATCTGTCAAAATATTTGTTTTCCCTATTAGATAACCAGATACTGGACTTTGAAATTTTATTATTCTGCTTACCACTTATTCTCTCCCTTCTCAATTCTTACATGATCATAAGAGCTATTGTCCTGAGAACAGCCAGGGCTGGATACCAGTGTTTTTTCTTTCTTTTTTTCTCTCTTTCTTTTTTTTTTTTAAAAAAAATTTAAAAAATTAAAAAAAAAAAAAAAGGAATCCTAACATAGAAATTTCATGAAATATTTCTCTATTTCCTTAGCAGTTCATGCAACATCAGCTGACAGTTTTGGACTGGAATTGAAGTGGATGAGGAAAAAATATGAAGACTTAAATAGAATGAGTATAAGGATGGGAAAAGAAAGTGCCATGCATCCCTTTGACACATGGGCTGTAGTGGGAGAAGTGATCCCTTCTTGTAAAATTTAAAGGGTGTAGAGATTCCCCCCGACAGAAATTTTACTGGAGAGAGGAATGAGTCAAACCTGTGTGTGTCTGTGTTTTTCCATTTTTTCTCTTTTATAAGTTACCAAAAGGTAATAGTTTGATAGAGCTTAGCAAACAGCAGAAGCAGAAATGATTGGTATAAGATCACTGGAAATCTGAGTAAATGGACTTTCTAGTGCTTGAAGGTACCTGTTCCTTCATCCTGATCATTTGAAGCCCTTCAGAATGCAGGATGTTTTATCCTGCTCCCATGTTGTGATGGTCTAAAAATCTAAAAATGTGCCTGGCACCAGGGTCCTTTTCATACCTGGGAAACATACCCTAGTCAGAGCACACTAAGATGCTGTCTCACTTTGCAGAGGTGATATTGCCATACTTTTTAATATTAACACCTCAGGAATACTTGAAAACCTCTTTGAGCTTTCACAGTCTGCCTTAATGACCTGCTCCACTCTTGTCCTTTAGGGCTTGATTGAACTCTCATTGAAGTTAATAGAAAGATTCCCATTGACTTCAGAAAGAGTTGATCTCAACTCATCTCATCTCATTAGGTTGTACATGCATGCCTCCTTCCCCTCACTCCTGCCTTGAAAGTTCAGTATATCACTATTATCTGCACAGTTGCTTCCTCATTGCCTTTTACTTGCAGAGCATTGTGGAGGAACAAGAACATAAAACCACTACCCACCCTTTTAAGATCTGCTACACCTATCGGAATGCCTTAAAAAAATCAGCGAATTAATGATGGCCAGTGTGAGCAATGATTTTGGGGTTACTGTTATGTAGAAATTGAAGAGAAACCTTTCTGAATAATGTGTTTCCTGTGTAGAGAATCAATGCCACTGTGATCTATTGTCATTATCTTTGTTATTCCTCATTACTTTCTCAGTCACTCGTCTCGTTAAAATGAGACTATATACTTATGGACATCAAAAATGTTCTCTTGCTTCTGTTTATTGTTGTCTAACTCACTTGGATAATTCCTCAGCATACAAAAATCAGTAAGAAAAGCCCAAAATTTGCTTAATATCTGATTCATTATGTATGCTGTTATGTATTGGGGCTGCTGTAGATGTTTTTGTGATACTCCTAGAGATTTCTGCAGCTTGTATGTTAGTTTCTGGGAGATCCAAAAGGAACTGTGAGACTGGAAAGGGCAGTTTCCAGGACTGATTTGTGTGGGAAGGAACTTCTAAATAAGTGACCTCTTTTATGGTCTCTGTAATGATGAATGAACACAATGTCCCCAGTGTTTTGGATCAGCCTCAAACCAATAGCAGGTAAAAAGTCAAGGATCTGCTTTGATCTTAGTCCACCCGTACAAGACAGCTGCTTTGCAAGGCTTCTGCAGAGAAGTTGGTGACTGCAGAGAAGCTGGTAACTGCTGTTGTCTAAGAGTACTAAGTATGGAAGCACAGTTTCTGCACATTTCTACAAATCCATCACGTTTCTACAAATCCGGGAGAAGGATAGACAGTGGCCTTAATGTCAGGTGAAGAGGTTTAGCTGCCATCCATTTCAAATAGGTGAGCAAAGCTGTGGAATAAGGCATACTTGCTGTTCCCTGGTCATGAGTGTGCTGGCGCTCAGGCTCCAAGTAAGAAATATGACCCAGAAGATGCTGCTGAACTGACTGAAGCAGTTTTACAATCTGCCTTACTGTCATTTCCATCCTCACCTCCTCTACCTTGACTGATTTGTTTTGTCCCGGAGAAGTACGCTTCTGATGGAACTCTCTGCCTCTGGTAAAGTGGATCATTCAGACTCCTCTTAGTATCTGCGCAGGATTGCCAGAAGATGGGGAAAAGAAAATTCAGCAGGACAATTGCCTTCTGATCAGCAAGACTCAATTTACTGTACCACGCTACCTCCAACTAGATAATCTCTGTTTTAGCTGTAAGCCCCTTAGTCTGGTTTTCCTCCATGGAGCTACAAAGAAGACAAGCTGTTTCCAAGGGGTTTGATGATTGTCCATAGGGTAATATTGTAAAAATAATACTTTATTCATTTATTTATTTATTTTATGCTGAGAGTTGGACAGCTGCTGAACTTGACCTGCATTATTTCCACACTCCCTTTTTTTTATCTTTCAAAAATGGGAGGAAGGGAAGTGACATGATGTAAAAGAAATTAATAGGTCCTGTTTTATAACTTTAGCCAGCCATGATGAGGAGCAGGGATACAAGATCTACAGTTCTGGCACAATTTTGATAGGGTGAGGCAAAATTACTCCTTTTATCCCAACAGCTTAGCAAAAATCCTAACAGGAAAATGCTGCTTACACTTGTGTAATTTCACCTTAGATGTTAGCTGTTCCATCATATAGGAATGCTGAGGAATGGAAGGATACTCTGAGGAAAGACTAAGTGTAACAGAACATGATCGTATTTGCTGATATGATAAATTTACTGTAGTGTTCACAATACCAAAATATTTTTTCAACATGGAGCTAGGGCACATGAGGTGGAAATAATTTTTCCTTCTGGTTTGCTGTCTCCCTGTATGAGAAGATATTGGAAAAAGTTTTGTAGTATTTAGCTAACACCAGTATCTTTTCACAAAAGAATGTGACTGTGATGAAATTCCTCATGGAACATTTTCTTGGTCAGGAAATTTTCTCTTGCTGCTCTTGGCATGAAATTGTGTTAGTCTTGTGCAGTTATTTTTACAGGAAAATGGAGTCAGTTCTACCACCAGCATAAACCAATTTCTCAGTGTGCTTGGGGTTGTATAAAATGAAAAGTTAAACGAAAATAACAACTGTGAGTCTGAACACTTGAAGTGGTAGTAGAACTGTCTGTAGCCCACGCTTTTGTCAGCACTGGAATAGGTTCTTGCAGAGGGCTGCCCTTCACCCAGACTTGCCTTGCAAGGTGGTCATGCTGCTGTGTGGAGGAGCAAGCTTCCATCATTCCTGCAGGTTTTGATGGAGTGGAAGTTGCAGGAGAGCTGTGAGAGCTTGAACTTCAAGCCACTTGCAGTTAGCACCAGCTGGAGGATTGTCTCACACTTCTAGAGCAGAGAAAATGAGAATCAGACCCTGACTGTTTTTTTTTTTTTAGTTCAAAACAAGTGTTGTAAAAATTAACCATTTCCTCCTAAATGTCTTTTATACTTACGTGGTAAAACTGGAAGTTTCAGAGCAGTGTTATTTTCTGAGGTATCCAGGTAAAACATGACCATGGAAAAACACTTTCTGATGGAAGAAGATTTAAAAAAATCCCTTTGATCTCAAAATGCAACTGTGTATATATTTTAGAGTGAATTTTAAAGGGTGAACTAAAACCATCAAAGGTAGATTTCTTCCCAAATTAAATTTTTGTTGTTGTTTAGAAAGTCATGAATGGTTTAATATAGGGTTTGACACTGAATGACTACCTTTTCCCTAACTATAATACTTTAAATGGGAAACTAATAAATGTGTTTGTGATAAGTAGAGAAATTACACAGGTGTATAGAAATTTTCAGAGCTATAATCACCAAGAGAAATAATTTCTTTTATAAGAAGGCATGAGGATCGACAGACTCAAACATCAAATTCCAGTAAATTATAGAGAACTACGTGGAGCACGTGCATCCAACAGTCCCTTAAAATAACCACCTGCTTATATGAGCTGGAAAGGCATGAATGATTCTTGTCCTGTATTTCAGGAGAAGGTCAACACATGAATGGTCTTATTGAAAAATAATAGCACAGGGTTATGGTTGGATTTAAACTGACCAAAACAGCAGTAGTGCCATCAGGCTTTGAAATGATACTGCTCTCTCTTAAAGCAGTATGTAGTGGAGGAGTTCCACAGCTGTTATTTATAAGATAGGCTATTTTAAAGTTTTCATATTTGACTGGCAAGTATCATCCAGTACTGTATTAAAGCATAAGTAATTTCCTCACTGCAGAGATCAAAAAAAATACAAATAGTCAAATAAGAAAAAGTTATGTGTACTTTTTTCTTTTATTAGACCTGATCTTGAAAATTTCTATTTAATGTATTTTTTTTCCCCCCGAATATTTTTTAATGTGTGTTCATAACACATTTGATAAGTTTTTATTTGTCATAGAGGTGCAATGATTAATCTGATATAAGTAGCTACATTCAGCTATGGTGGCATTTAAGAACTAGTTTGCAGAAGAAAAAACATGAGCAGAAGGCAGTGCTACATTAACACAGCAGGTTCTGCTGTGTACAAGCAGTCTCTTTCTGACCCCACAAAACTCCTGAACACCCAGGGAAATTCTAAAAGTTGTTGTTTCCCTCCACAGCCTCTCTTAGCTACAGAAGTGGGTATTTTTTCTGTTGCGTTTAAGAAATCCAAGAGATTGATTCAGAGTATAGCTGAGATTTAGCAGTGACAGGCTGTATTCACAGCACCACGCTGAGTAAATTAAATAGGATAGAGCAGATCTAGATTCAAATTCTTTCTCCTCTCCCTGTTTTACAGCAGGTATTTGAACTCAAGCCCTTCTAAGAAAAGTGCTTTTAGCACTATGGTGTAAGTTGTTACAATTTTTTACAGTATGTCTACACATGTTTTTCTTTGAATAAGATAATTGAATGTACACAGGAATCAGACTTGAGTCTTCTCTGTGTAGGCTGGACATGAGCAACAGGTGATTCTGCTTTCAGGGCCAGTGAAAAAACTATTTAAACAGAGAAACAACCTCAGTAGAACAGTCTATTAGAAGATGGTTAGGACTGAGAAGCACTGTTTAACAAACCTCTGTGGAAGGAAGGAAGTTCGGTGTTAAAATTGTTAAAGTTGTGGTAATGCTGGAAATCAGGAGTCTGCATGGCTACAGACTGTACATTCTGAGCTGGAGAGACATCTTTATGCAGTTTGGATGTAGGTGCCCTTGTACTTCTAGAAGGCTGAGTTTAGCCAGAGCCTGGCATATCTCCTTAATGAGCTGGTCTAGGTCCTCATACAGTTTGATTGGCTCATACCTTTCAGTTTTAACTACCTATGTCTCCCCACCTAACACTTTGCTTACCTTTTTCAAGGCTAGGAATCATGCAGAGTTGTAGGACTTAGTTTTTTGTTGTTGTTCTTTCTTTCTTTCTTTCTTTCTTTCTTTCTTTCTTTCTTTCTTTCTTTCTTTCTTTCTTTCTTTCTTTCTTTCTTTCTTTCTTTCTTTCTTTCTTTCTTTCTTTCTTTCTTTCTTTCTTTCTTTCTTTCTTTCTTTCTTTTTCCTCACGTAGTCCTATTTCTGCATATAAAGGACGTGTCAGGTACTTAATCAAAGATAACTAATACAGTGGTCTGTATGTTTTTTTTTCTCAATCATTTGCATAATTAGACTGAGTTGTTGCAAGTCAATTAGACAAACCCTAAAAGAACAGTAAAAATGTAATCGAATAGCCAACAACTGAGTTATTTTAGGCTTAATATTTCTAAGAAGGGTATTTTTAAGAGATTTTAATGATGTCAGAACTACCTAGGTGAGGAGATGACATTCTTTTCTAATCCTTCAGCTTTTTATCTGAATTCATGTGCATAAAGCAGCTCCATGAATTTAAAGATAAACATATAATTAGGTGTTTTTAGGATTGTATCTCACTGCTTTTCATATTCTTTGCACCTTAAGACTGCAGTTATTTCTGTGTTTGCTAGAGATATTTAGTCAAGGGAGAAGCATAACTTTTATCTATAATTCTAGTCATCTATTATTTCCTCAGAAATTACTTTTTTACAAGAAAGGCTGTAAACAAATCCATTTCTCTAGTAAGTCTAGGAACTAGATGGTGTATGTGAATTGTTAAGACCATATTGTTAACTTGTTTTTTTCCATTTGTTACTTTCAAAGAATTCAAGCATACCAAACAATTTCCTGTCGGAATTACATTTAAAACAAATTTGGCATATTTCTTTTTTATTTTTAAAGTACGTGAGGAAAGCATTCCTTTCGTCCAGAACATAAACACTGGTTTTATTATAGTAGAAAAAAAAATTGCTGAATTTTTAGAGAGCTCTTTCTCATAATCAGTTACATCAGAATAATTTGCTAAATTGAAGGATTATTCAAGAGACATAGAAGCCTGATGCTTCATTCTATGATGATTCTTCCCATAGTGAAAAAAGCATGTGGTTCCGGGTATTTTGTTGTTGGAATCCCTACTTTTGTGAGTAGTGATGGACTGGCTGACTTCTAGCTTGTACAAATAATGGAATAAATTCATGCTTTCAGCCCATAAGTGCTTACCTAAAAAGAGGGGAAAGAGGAAGAATGGGTTGGTTGATACAACGTTAATTGGTATAGTTCTAGAGAAGAGCTTCTCAGTGGTTAGTAGCTTGGAACTCTATAACTGGAAATACTTTAATTTAAAATCCAATAACAGAAGCTTTATTGACTACATGCAGAAACACTTAAGATTTTTTATTTATTTATTTATTTTGAATCACAGGTTGAGTCTTCTCTCTAAAGCAAATCCACTGAATAATAGAATTGTACTTCTATAAAGCTGCTGTAGCAGGGCCAGCGTCAGGGTACCGGACTTAAATGGGCACTTCTTGTATAAATGCTATTAACTGCAAAAAGACTCTTGGAGTTCTTTGTGGATAAAAGGTCTCAGTAGAAGCCTCAGCTGGTATCTCTACATGAAACAGATAAAGAAAAATATTAATTAACCCCATTGCTTTTGTTAGTCTTTGAATCAATTTTACTACCTTTCTGCAGAAAGAATTTAACAAATACATTTTTAGAATTTTTTAAATTCAAAACCCATTCCTATTTTGTTCTTTGTTTTCAGAACACCACAGAATTCCTGCTTTGGAAGAGGCAAGTTGGTTGCTGGGGAACATCAACCAGACCGGCTACTTTAGAGTTAATTATGATGTTAGGAATTGGAGGCTGCTAATTAATCAGCTAACAAGGAACCATGAGGTAAGTTCCTCTTCTCAGCCCTAAAATCTGATTTTATATGCGAACGTTCACTATTTCATCACCCTAAATGGTTCCATTTTTCTGGTTGCTCCTCATAGGTTATCTCTGTCAGTAATCGAGCAGGCTTGATCGATGATGCATTCAATCTAGCCAGGTATGTTTGCCTGAAGATAATTTATCTTCAAATACATTCTTGCAACAACTCATACAATCATTAGCTCAACAGCTGAGAGCATTTTGAAGTTAAATATGTTTTAAACACACTTTAGTTTTCCTCCCCCCACCCTTTTTTGTATGGTGCATAAACATGGTCTGTAGCACACTCTTGATCAATAATTGCCGTAGGGTATTTCCGAGTCTAGAGAGGTCTGATCAATTTTGCAGCAAGTTTAATTTAACACTTTGGAGGTAAATAATCTTTTTCCACTTTCTTTAATGAAAAAGGAAGGTGTTTTTTTCTTCTGTTACTCCCTAAAGCACCCATTCTCTCCTCCTCCCTCTCCAACCCCTCCCCCTCCTTTTTTTTTCTAAGAATCCCTTGTGCTGTATTTTATTTGCGATGGAAGGCACCTTCAAGCTTCAGATTTTTTTATTTTTTTTTTTGCCTTGACTTATGCTGTTATATCATTTTTCCAATATCCTTTTCTTGTAGTCTGCTAGAACAGACTCTTTTTTCTGCATGACGTTTTTCACACAGTATGTAAAGTCAGAGTTCTGTTGACCGTTTCTGGAATTTATACAGCTCTTTGTGTTTTATTATGACCAGAGTTATGTAATTAACATGTATAGTGCTGGTTAGGTAATGCCTTCTTTATGAATTGAGACAATGAAATCATTCCCGTTTTGAAGTCAATACATCCAATATGTTGGTCGTCAAAGTGAAGAATGAGAAGAAAGTAGTGGAACTTTTCAAATTTTGAGATTGTTGAGGTCCCTGGGAACACTGCATCAGTAAAACACTATGATGTCAAAGGCTGTGTGAAAAGAATTCCTGATGTTACTGGCTTTTCCATTTGCTAGTGTATTTATAGGCATATTTGGGCAGGGGCTTGCAAGAATTGGCAGTACTGAGGTACATTTCACTAGAAATGGTCACCAGAGATTTTTGAGATTCAGGCACAATGTCACGCAGAAATTATGGCTCAGTGATTTTCCAGCTTCACTGCAGTAAAAAACAGTTTTGTGCCCTACCACTCTGTTCCTGCTGCCTGTGCTAGCCTGAATATATGACATAAACTAGTGATTAGTCCTTACTTAATAGCCCAGAGATGTAGTAGAGAAGGAGGTATGACAGGGAGAGAAAGAGACCCCTTTTGCTTTTTGCACTGCCTTTCATTCTTGCCTTGTATCCTCTTCCCATTGGCAACGTTACAGAGTTATAAATAGGTTATCATTTCAGTGACCCAGGTAGTCCTTGGCTAGTAGAATACTGCAGAATATTCTGAAATACCTAGACTGTTGAAAGAACTAATGCATGTTCAGTCAGGTAACAGTCTGTTCCTTATTTTATTTTTATTTTTTTATTTTTTGGCAACTCAGAGCTGCTTTATGTCTAATAAAACTGAAATAATTTGCAGTTATGCAAAATCAGTACATGGCTTTCTTCTTCATGAACTGAATGCAGTCATATGTGGCTTGGCTTTACAGAAAATCTAGGCACCGAAAAAGCCTGTTTCTTAAGCTGATTCCTGTAGGTAGGTGTTTTTCTTCTCAGTCAGTACTGAGCCAGTGCTCTAGGATGTATTCTTCATAAAGCATAACAGCAAGGTCTTGATTAAAGGCCCAACCTGCATAGTCTGGCCAAGTTTTTCTACCTAAAAAAAACCCCAGACATTAGATAAGAAACATGTTTTCATACATTCTTTCCAAAGCTGTTTTATGGGTATTGGATCCTGCTGCTTTTTCACAGGTAACTATGCCGGAACACTGTAAGTTTTTTTGCAAAATTTCATGTTGTAAAAACTTAACTTCTGTTAATGATGAACTGCAGTGGATGGCTACTGCATTTGTTACTCGTCCACCGTGGAAAAAAGTAGTTGAGCTAAATATTTACACTATAAACCCATTTGTATATGTAGATATTACATAAGCAGAAATATTCTTATAACAGGGATGCACAGATAGGTTCCTGCTTCTTTTAAACCTCTGACTCCTGTTAGTAGTACTGCCTTACAAGCACGTCTGTGTGTGACAGATTTGGTTGAAGGAGAGATCTAGAGAAGTAGAAATGCATATTTGCAAATATTTAAAAAATATAGTTAGTATTCAAAGAGTAGCAATAAGATATGTGGATTTGCCTAAAAGTGGCAGATACTAGGGTATACTGTTCTTAATCCTTTCTTTTTTTTTTTTTTTTACTTCATCTATCATCTTTCTAAAGAAATGATAATAAAAACAAAAAGTAACTATGCTTGAGTATAGTTATGTTTAAGATGCTCTAATTGGCTGGCTAACTGTATGGTACCTTTCTAAGAAGTGTTTGGCATTTTTTTTCTTTTCATTTCCTCTCTCCCAGGCAAAGACAGACCAGGGACAGACCTACTTTTTTCTCTGCTCCTTACCATGAGCAGGACTAGAGAAGCATTGAGAGTCTGTTAGAAGAGTTTTGGGGCAGACCTTGAGAGCAGAGCACCTGAACTTCTGGGAGTATGAAAGTGCATGTGAAAGCTCTTGTGGGGACAAGCAGTGGAGAGTCGCACGCTGATGCTGCAGTACAGCATAGCAGCTCTGCTGTGACAGATGCACAGCAGCATCCCAAAAACAAGCTCTGAGGGCTATCAAAATGACACAGACCCTTTCAGTTTCCTCAAAACGTCCTTGTTTAAAAGGCCACCATTAGCCTAAAGGCAGCCTAGCTTTCCCCTCTTGGCTGCAAAGCACAGTTCATAAAATCATTTCGCTTTTTGTCAGAGCAGTACCATTCTTTGGATGTTACTAGCCTTGTGGATGTAGTGGTGATTCTATCTTATGTCCAAGGCACAGAATGCATTTCTCCCTCCCAGTATAATGTTACATGGTGGGGAGATTAAAAACAGGCAATTGTCTCTGACTGCTACATGAGAAAAAGTGAGTAACCTTATTGACCTATCACAGAGGTAATAATTGGTAGTTTAGACTGACTTCAGAGAAGACTGGCTGTTTTAAAGGGTAATTGTGTCCTCTGATGTGGTCCCTAGTGGTACTGATAGGTTATCATCTTGTCTACCACTATAAATGTACGTACATGAGTTGAGAGAGAGAACTGTGGAATATATACTTTTATTTTAACACCTATGTATTATTTTCAGTAATAAAATAATGCATAAATGAAAACATAACTTCTTAAATCCACACTTGTCCTTTTAAAAACAATTTCCAACATAAGCAGTTCTTGTTACTGTATTAAATAGAGCGTATTTCTTCAAAATACCCCATCCTTCATAGAGATTTCTGAAGTACTCCCTAGTGTGTTGTTGAACTTGATACAGATAATGTCCATTCCACAGCAGAAAGGTTTGACTCAGTTCTTCCAGTGTCCTAAGATGGTAAGTCTTGATTCCTATATATTAATGCTAATTGATTTTGTTTATGAAACAAGTACAGATCTTATTTTTAGTAAAATTTAATAACAATGATTATGGAGAAAGCTGAAAGAATATTATTTATTTTGGAGATTTTATTCTTTCAAAATGTTTGCTATCCTTTTTATTGTCCAGTATAATGATTTCTCTAAAATAAACATAAATGAATCGTTACCTCCAAGGAATATATTAAGCTCTATAATTTCCTAAACTTTTGCCCATTTTATATGTAAATATATTCCTTCTTCTTTCTTGGTGCATTTTGGTTCCATAAAATTAATCAAGCAGGATTGAGCAGAATAATAACAATAAAAGAAAGCAGCGGTTTGCCCACTGTGTTTGAATTCTCGCAAGCTTGTTTGTTTTTCAGACTTTTAAACAAAATTCTGTTCTCGGCTGTAGTACGTGCATACACCCTGCAGATCCAGAGTGCTGTAGCCTTGGCAGTAACATAGCTTACGGAAATAAATTCCCAAAATTCTTGAGCAAGAACAGAACCTTGGTGCTCTCTCTTCCCTTCTTCTTGAAGACCCTTTATCTATTTAGAATGTTTTGTAAAGGATTTCAGAACAATTTGAAACTAAGTTGATTGTAGCAAATGGAATGTATTGATGGTAGACTGATAAAGAGAAGATGAATGGAACTGTGTATCTCTTCTAAGCTTTAATAAAGGTAGTTCAGAGAGCTCCAATAAACAGTGTCACAGGAAATAAGAAAGATCCTACGGTTTCTTGAGAGTGTGAATAATGTTGTCAGCTTCTCATGTCTTTCTCATTCCTTGGGGTAGGGTGTTAGCGAATATGTGAGGTGGAATGCTTCACACTTTACTTTAGGTGTCCCAAAGGTAGACTTGTACATCTGAGCTTGTCACCTTGCATGGCACTGACAGATAATGGAGACAAATAACACTCAGAACCTCTCAAAGGCACATAACATGGGATAAGATAAATTACCCTCCTGAGGTTAGCAGTCTTGTGTCTAGTTCTAGTTCCCTAGTTCTTCCTTGCTGGACTCTAAATCTTCATATTCATCGCCACTCATTAAACATGTTGAATTAATCCAATATTATGTCAAAGAAATACATCTGGTTTGTATTCAGTGTTAATCGGTATTGAATCAGATGATTAGATGTGATTGTGGATACTTATTTTACTCTCATCTAAAATAGTTATTGCTGTTCTGGAAGAATCCCTTTTGTCTCTTGAACACTAATGTATATCTAATACTCCTTGTTTCTGCCTCTGCCATAGGCACTTACTGTGTTAGGTGATAGGTGCTTGGTCTGCATGGCAGTTTCTCAGAAACAAGGTTTTGATGCCGACATTCTTCCTTGCTGTTGATCATTATCTTGCCTTCTGTTCTACCATGAAGAGTCTGTGGTGGAGTTCTTTGGGTGCTCAGATTTTCGTGACTGTTCCCTTTTGAGTCGCAGGCCTAATGACAGTGTGGAACATGCCAAGACTAAACTCATTGGTTACACATTAACAAATGCCAAAGACAATATCTGACGATAGGTTTTGCATATTTCCCCACTGTATTTCTTAACTGGATTAATGAGAAGTCATATAATCATTAAGGTTGGAAAAGACCTTCA